GTTCAGAATGCAGCTGCCCGTTTGGTCACTTTAAGCCCAATTAGGGACCATATCACTCCTGTGTTAAGGCACCTTCATTGGCTTCCTGTAACACAGATAATTACTTACAAGATTTTATTATTTGTTTTCAAAGCACTTCATAATTCCTCGCCAATGTTTATTTCACAACTCATTCATCCTTACATTCCTAAGAGGTCTCTGAGATCTAGTTCAGAGTCTCTACTTGCTCATTCCACTCGCCCGTCGACAAGGCATTATGGTAGTCGTTCTTTCTCTTGGGCTTCTGTCTTTGTTTGAAATGCTCTGCCTATTACAATCCGACAGGCAACTTCCATTGATGATTTTAAGGCAGCTTTAAAAACTCACCTTTTTAACTTGTATTTTTCTTAATTTTTTTTCCCGAATTTTATTTTTACTGTTAAGCGCATTGAGGCTTTAGCATAATGCGCTATATACTGTAAGCCAAAATTATTATTATTATTATTATTATTTTCTGGAGAAACCCCTGTAAAACCAGGTGATGCTACGTACGACAAATGGCGGAATGAAGTTTGTATGTTAATGGCTGAAGATAATAGCTATTCACCATCCGAAAGTCACTGCGAGGAGAAGCTAGGCGTCTCACCATGAGGTGCCAGAGTTTAAAAGAAGTTCTAAAGAAATTAGACACTTTCTATTCATTGGTTGATGATGGCGTTGTACTCTTGCAAAAGTTTTACAGTTGTGGACAAAAGATGAAAATGCACGATCGTTTTTCTACCGTCTGGAAGACTTTCTCCACTACGAGAGTAAGATTGCGCCAGAGCGTCTTTTGCGACTAGTAAGGGAGCAGGAAGACCAATCCGAAGTTCCACATAAACAACGGAATGTGACTGTGCACCAACAAGCCACTCTTCCAACACCCAATCAGACTAGATCTGCTCCACCAGCTTCACCAACACCAAAACCCAGCCAGCCCAAAACAAAAGAGAATGACGAGTGGATATGTCACCGGTGTAGTCTTCCCGGACACATTGGTAAGGGGTGTAAAAACTTTCACCTCTGGGATGGGAACAAGCCAATGGCCTCTGGGGCACTCAGCTCACAGCATTTAAACGGGAGAAAACCACTACCACAAGGCCGAGGGCGGTAGTCCAACTCCAAACCGGCCAGACACGATCACCCAAAACACCCACACTCCAACGCTTACTAGGACCACCCAACGAAACATAGATAATAAATGAAATGACTTGTAGCGCTTTGTTGGACACTGGTTCCCAGCTGCCTACCGTTTCTGAAACATTTTTCAAAGACAACTTGGCCAACAACAGAACTTTACTGGATATGCTTGGAACACTTCCTGTGGAAAAGAAAGCGCATTGGAAAGATTTTGTTGGCCCACTAACGCATGCATACAACTGCACGAAACAGAGTTCAACAGGTTATTCACCGTATCTTTTAATGTTTGGACGCAACCCAAGATTGCCAGTTGACGTATGTCTAGGTCTCACACCATACAGTGTTTCCGAGGCAAACCACGCTACATGTTTCTGATCTTCGAAAAAGATTAATGTACGCATATAGCAAGGCGTCAGCTAACGCAAAGAAAGTGGCGGCCAAGTCTAAGGAACACTTTGACCAATCTGCAAGAGAAAATACCCTTGAGGATGGGGATCATGTTTTAGTGAAGAAAGTGGCCTTTCATGGGAAACACAAATTAGCAGACAGATGGAGCAGCAGATTCATGTGGTGATAAGGAAGATTTCAAACGAACTTCCAGTTTATGAATTGCGACCGGAGAACGGAGGAAAATGTTACATACTTCATCGAAACATGCTACTTCCCTGTAACCATCTACCCATTAAATCAGAACAACCGGAACCAAAGCAACCACACTTAAAGCATCACCAAACTGCAGAAAAGCGTCACCTACGAAGGTCTAAAAGAAACAAAGAAACGCACACCCAACCAAATAGTGACGAGAGTGATAGTGATGAAATACATACTGCCATAGTGTATCAACTGTTTCAACTTAGGTTTTAACTGTTTAAGTAACCGATT